ATCTGGTCTCCTGTCTGAAGGAGAGATGGAGAAGGACTGATGTGTTACACTCACTCATCTGGAGGAAGGGCTCCTCCATGGTGCCAGGTTTAGGTGCTGAGTCTAAGTGGCTGCTTAACAACTCTTCCCAATGAGTAAAGCAGTTGAAAAATTTTGATGGGGCCCTGGGAGGGCCTCAAGCCTACCCTGTCATCTCTCCATTCCATAACTATCTTATTGGATATCAAATATTATGCCATTTGGGTCACTCACCTCCAACCCCACCTCTGCAGACAGGGAGCCAGGCTTTACATGGCTGATGAAGATGCCCGGTTTCTGGACTGGGCCACTGGAAATGCTGTGAAAGGTGGGAAATGTGGATGAAGCTCTACCCTCTTTGCTTGTTCCCTGAAGCACTCGCTTGTTTTCAATGTCCTGTCTATCACCCTCTATCTGGGCATTCAGTGTCCAGGATAGAGTTCATCCATGAATTCAGGACCCACAGACTCCATCTCTGTTTCCCTTCTAGCCTGATTTCCACTGTTCCCCTGGGTTACAGACACAGAAAACTACTTGTAATTCTCCCCACCCTATCCTCACCCATTATACCACATGTGCTGCTTCTTCTCTTTCTAGAACTTTCCTTTCATACCTTATGACTCAAATACTATCTCCTTTAAAATTTTTAAGTAGATCCCTTATTCTATCTCAAGATTGAGCAAGTGCCCCCTCCCCTGTGCCCCCAAAACATCTACAGGAAGGATGGCACTTGCTCATTCTGCCCTAGATCTGTAGCAGATATCACTAAGCAACTATAGCACTCTTTCCAAGCAAGCTGGATACAGCTTTAGAATCCTTTGCAGAGCCAGGCACAGTGGTGCATGCCTATAAATCCCAGCATCTCTGGAGGCTGAGGCAGGAGGACTGAGAGTTCAAAGCCAGCCTCAGCAACTTAGGGAGGCCCTAAGAACTTAGTGAGACTCTAACTCTAAATAAAATATTTAAAAAGGGCTGGGGATGTGACTTGGTAGTTATGCACTCCTGGGTTCAATTCTTGGTACTAAAAAAAGAGAGAATACTTTGCAGAACAGTACCCCAGGAAGCCACCTACTAATTGATTAGAGATGGCACAGATAGGAAACCTATTTGCCATCCCTGATGCAGGATGTATCTCCCTCAGAGTCCTTTTCACCCTATGTGGCACCTATGCATTTGGCTTCTATGTTGGTATCATCTTCCAGAAAGGAAAGATAATTTCTTATCACTTGTAAAATGTTGAATAAATGTGAAGGAATGGAAATAATCAGAATAACAAAAATAATAATAACCAACACTTATTAGCCACTTACTACCTGCTAGACACTAAGCTTAGTACTTTGTTTACTTCTTTTGCAATAACTTTGTGATATGGGTATTATGCTCCCCTGTTTATAAAAGGAAAAACTGAGGCTCGGAGTGGTTAAGTTAAGTGGTTCAGGTTCTGGAGCCTGTGCATGGCAGGGCAGGGCTGGAACTGACCAGGGAGTGACTGTGGCACCTGCATACTTGATACGGACTCCTCGTGTGGCCCAGTGCCTGTTTGGAATTCCCTGACTGCCTCTTAAAGAAAGCCATGAGGTAATCTGTGACAAGAGAACTGTGACAGAGATGCCCAGATGGGTAGTGTCCTTTTGCAGTGAGTCAAGGGCCCACCCAAGGACCATGGCTCTGCCTCTGGGCCTCAATTTCTTCATCTGTAAAATGAAAACTGTTGGAGCTGTCCCTCTGGCTCTGGGTGGCTGCGAAGCTCAGAGTGGAACTCAGGCAGCAAGAAGTGTCATCACTGGTGGACAAGTCACCTCACTAAAATTGCATTGCATGTAAATATTCTACTCAATAGTTTCAAGTGTCCTCAGATGCAGCAGTGAAGAAGGAAAGAGGCATCAGGAGCCCGCTAGGGTCTACCTGCAACAACTGAGCCTAAGGCATGCTGCCACCCACCTGCAGCCAAGGCCCCGTGAGCCCACCAGGCTGATGAAGACTTTTTTCTCCTTGTGTGCCCGTGTCCCAGGAGAACCCAGGCTGCCTCGACTGCCCTGGAGGAGGAACAAAAGCAGGTCATTGGGTGTCAATGTACATGCAAATAGCCTTTTGAGCTTGTGATGTCTTTAGGGTAAGTACTGCCTAATTTTCACAGGCAAGTCGGTCATTCTGCCCCTGGGGTGTGGGTCCGCACACTAGCTAGGCCAGCCGAGGGCCCACCACTCCACAGGAGCTTTCTGGGTGTCCTGGAGGCCCTAAGATCATGTCCTTAGAGCCAACCCTCCCTTAAGACCAGCTGCCCCTCCTGGAAGTCCACTCCACCAAAGTGCCATCACAGTGGGTCCTGGCCCTTACCCCAGATTCTGATACAAACTGATCCACATACTGCCATTTGAGAGGCTCCTCAGGAGAGCTGACAAGAGGAAAAAATAGAACAAATAGTTCTTAGAGATGATTTAGGGACCAGGCCCCAAGTCCATATCTGCCTCATTTGTAGCCTCCACTGGACTAGGAGCAGCGTGACCTGGGGGTAGAGGAGTAAGACCCCAGGGCTGATACCAGGACCTTGGAGGCACAAGGAAAGAGTGTTACGAGGGGGGTCTCACTTACCTCTTCACAGGGATCAGGCCGATGTCTGTGGGAGAAAAGCACTGGGGTTAGGGCAGCTCCCTGCCCTCTCTGTCCCCTGCAGGAGCTGAGTAACCCCGTTGTCTGCTCCAGTCCACAGTCACTGAGCCCCACCACCCTCTGGTCTCACTTACGTCTCACTTTGATGGACACAGTCTTCTTGGTTCTTATCAGATTGATGACCTCCTCGTGGGTGCAGGAGGAGATGGAATAGCCATTGATCCGGACAATCTCATCCCCCACCTTGGCCACAGAGAGAGGGAATAAGCACTAGGTGGAGGGAACATCTGGCAGCAGGAAAAGCCCACCACCAGGTGCTCATGGCCAGGCTAAACCTCTCTATGTGCCCTATTCCTTGTCACAACCAACCCACCCCACACCAGCCCGAGGGATCCCAGGGCAGGTGGTACTTCCTTTTACCCCATTTTACAGATGAGGAAACCAAGATGGGGAGTGAGGAGTTCAGTAGGACTCAGGTCTCTGTCCCCTCACTCTGGCATCCCTTCCACTCCACATGATTGTTATCATTAGGCCTGAGCCCAAAACCCATGGCTCAGGTCCCTCTTCTCAGAGCTTAGGCAAGAGTGGATTGGGAGACATGGGCTTGCGGGGCCAGCTGGGGATACATGCTGACACTGCCCCTGCTGGACACTACTGCTGCCTGGCACTCAAGCCCTGAGGATCAGACTGAAGCTTGTTATTGACTAAGCACAGAACTGAAGGACCCTCAGACATCAGGTGACACCTAGGCCCAGGGAGGTAATATTTTGTCCAAGGTCATGTAGGCAGGAGCCGCAAAATAGTAACTGGATCCTGAGTGCCCCTCTTCATTCTGAGGCCAGTGCAGGGTATCTGGGGGTTTAACTCCAACCACATGTGCTGACGCCTTGCAGACTTGTTAATACACAGCTGGATGCTATGGGGGCTAAGGGACACACAGCCTCTGAAGGGCCCCACAAGCCAACTCCCACCCTATAGCACTCCTACAGAGTCACCTCTTATTGTTGCCAGGAATGGCCCCCCCCTCTCTCTGGACACAGACCCCAGTCTTCTTGGGGGAGGGGAAGTCCTGACAGAGGTGTCCAGAGACTCAAAAAGGCACAAAAGGGAGGGGCTCAGTAAAGAACTCTCTAGGTTTATGGGGACATTAGATTCAAGGAGAACTACTGGATTTGCTCCTTATACCTAGTTTTCACAGCAAAACTGCAGGGCAGGAACTTGTGTGTCTGTGAATCAGATGAGGAAATGGAGGCCCAGAGAGGTGCGATAACTTGCTCAAGGTCACCCCATGAGCAAATAAGGCTGTCAGGATCCCAAGTCAGGTGTTCCTGACAGACAACAAGCCTTGTCTCTTGGGTGTCTGGAAGAAGAAAAGAAGGGCAAATGGCTAAGCCTGGCTACTGTTCCCTACATCTTGTCCTCTCTGGATCCCTGCCACCTGTCAGAGCCTTCGAGTCCCACAGGAAGGCAGGGATTGCTCTGTCCATTATACAGCTGGGACCGCAAAGGCACAGAGAATCATTTTCTAGCCCTAGTAGATACAGCAAGTTGTACAGCACAGGCTGCCTCCGTGCAGGACAGAGACTTAATAAAGAATTCCTTTAGGGGGCAAGAGCAGAGGAATGGAGTCCCAGGACTAAGTCCTACAGAGGATCTGAGCCCCACTGGGGACCCAAGCTCATAGGTCAAATCAGCACAGGGTCTTTGGCACAGAACGTGCCTCTCCCCTGTCTTCCAGAATCTTCTCCCAGCTGTCCTCAGGCCTGAGATCTCCTTGGAAACATGAACCCAGGTAGGTCAATGATGCAAGTGTTTTCTCCCAAGCTCCTCTCAGTGAAGTTTCCTTTCTTGTTCCTAAAGGGAACTTGCCCAGGACCCCAGTAGGAATAAAATTCCCACAGGGTTCCTGGCTCAGGTTACAGGATCAACTTCCCTCTCCCTCTCCCTCCACAAAGAACCCTGCAAAAGGGCCTTTGTGCAGGCACCACAAAGATATGGACATCTGAGGGTCCGTGGAACAAAGGAGAGATGAGTCCATCAGCACAAGAAAGGGTGGATAATTCATAAGCCTGAGAAACAGCTGGGAAGGTAAAATCTGAGTTTCATTAAAATGTCCTCTCGTCCCCAAGCATTGGGGCACTGCTGAGAAATGCTCATCCGAGGACGAGAGCTCGCCCTGGAAAAAAAAGAGGGCCTCAGATGATGCCAAGAGAGGCGCTCATTATGTTTATTTCTCTGACTCTGTTTCTGGGCTGGAAAATGTGCCTCAGAGGAAAGGAATAATGAAGGGGCTGAAATTTCAGACGCCATCGGCGAGCCGTGAGACAGGGATTCAGAACAAAGCCATGTCTGTCAGCTCCCTATTTCCACCCCCACTCCTCACTCTCGGGTACCATTAGCACTGGAGCCCCCTGAAGCCCCTGGCTTGGCCTCTGGGATTGCGATTTCGATAACAAACACTCTGGAAGCTCTGGGAGGTGGGGAGGGCCTCCTTTACCTGAACAGACAAAAACACAGCTCCAGGCTCCGGGAGGAGTGAGACCTGCATGTCTGCCCTGCTCTGCTCAGACATGGAGGAGCAGGGACCATGGTGGAGAGGCACCCTGAGGTGTTAAAGGGAGATCTCTGGGTTGACCTTAGGAGACCCAGGTTCTAATCCTGACTCTGCCACTCACTGGACTCCAAGCCTCTATTAACCATAACTGGGGATGATACACCCAATGCAAACAGTGAGAATCCATGTGAGCTTGTATCCAGCACATTGTTAATCATTCACTGTCTCCCTCTCTCTCTCTGCTTATTTATAAAACACAAAGCACTTCCGTGTCAGGCAGTGTTGTAAGCTTTCTAATACTAATTCATTTTTGTTCCTTGTACAACCTGATGAGGTAGATTGTTTCATCATCACCCCATGTTGCCGATGGGGAAACTGAGGCCGGGGGTTAAGTCATTTCACTAAATTCACACAGCTTAATGAACAGCAAGGCCAGGTTTTGAACTGGGCAGTTCAGCCTCAGAGTCTATATTCTTAAGCATCATGCTACATTGGGCCTTCTTCCCTGCTGCTAAAGGTGACCTGTGCCAGGCTTCCGGTGCTGAACATAACTATGATCCTCCTTCAGTAAGTAGGGAGGTGGGGGCCAGTGGGGCAGCAGCATCTGGGACGAGGCAGCAGTTAGGTTCAAGAAAACAGATGGCCTGGGACCTGGTTTCTATGGAACTGCAGATACCTGTCAGGGCTCAGCAGCCTCTTCCTCTCCCAGAGGCTCAGGAGAGTGGGTGCCTGTACTGTACCACAGCGCCTAGCAGATGAAGGGGAGGCAGGAAGTCTGAGCCTCTGGGGCCCTCTTCCCTAGACTCTGCTCACTCACCTGGAGACCGACGCTGTCTGCCTGACCTCCTTTGATGAGATGAGAGATGAAAAGCCCACAGCCAAATTCGAGGCCCCCACGCACGCTGAGGCCAAGGCCTTCGGGGTGCAGACGGTCCAGACGCACCTCCTTCAGCTTCCTGCCATGGTGTGGGGTGGGTTAGTGATGGCCCAGTTCAGCCTGATGGCCAGCACTGCCCAGCCCCCTAGTGAGAGACTCAGTTCATCCCAGGGTGACCTCTTCCACCCCTGCCTCTGGGCTAGTGACTCCTTCTGTACCTGGAGCGCCGAGGGGTCAGCTGGTCATATTCCACCTGATGCTTCAGTGGGATCAGTGGCCGGATGGCATCAAACAGTGGCAGGCGGTTGGGCTCATTGATGACCAGCTTCAGGTCTCCAACAAGCACAGTGACGTCCATGGTCCTGCAGAGATAGAGGGGATGCTTGGTGCCTTACTCCTGACCAAGACCTCTGACCCAGCCCAGCTCCCCACTCACTGGGCCCAGGCCTAGGAATTAAGAACTCTCTTGAAAGGTCCAGAACTTCTAACTCTGGACCATGAGCTATGGAAGAGCTTGTTTCTCTCACATAAGTGTCACAGGAAATCTGTGAGTTAGGGACGGTTAACCCATTCTGCACATGAAATCAACCCGGATTTCAAACTCGGCTCTGCCTAGTTCTAAAGTTCAGGATCTTCCCACACAGGACAGCTCTGTGTGAGACGTGATGAGCTGTCTCATCCTCTGATCTTCTAGTTTGATCAGCTGCTAAATTCTAGAAATTCCACCCTCAGTATCTTTCTTGTGCCTTCATGTAATTCAGACACCTCTGCATCTCCAGCTGCCTGCTGATTTGCCCACTCTCATGTAATCTTTACTAATATAAGACATTCCCTTCTCAAAATCCTTCAATGGCTCCTTACTGCCTAGAGGACAAAATCCATTCTACCTGGTGGCCTCAGGGTCCTCTATGACCTGTCTCCTGGAATGTCTCCAGTCTGTGGCTCTACATGCTCTCAGGGTTCTCCAAGGTCTAACTCACAGATTATCTCTCATTCTCCATCCACACCCTGTGCTTCTGTGCTTCTGAACTTCTGATGATGCTGAGCCCTCATCCTGGGATGCCCTTCCCCAATATTTCACCATCCCAATTTCTTACTCTTCATAGCCTAGCTCAAGTTCTTCTGGCATCTCCCTGACCCCTCAGTTAGAAGTGAAAATTCCTTTCCTTAAATTCCTTCTTTCACTTCCACTTACCAATTATTTTATTGCAACTTATGCTAGAGTTTCTGGTGCTTATAATGCCTGTTCACCTCCCCCGACCAGGCCACAAGTGACTCAAGGAAACAAAGTGGATCTTCTTCATCCTAGATCCTGCATGCTACGTAGCAACTGACAGGAGCTTATAAATGTGGGCCAAATGAATCAAAAAGCAGGTGGGTGACCAGAGACATCCAATGCAGTGGCCAGGGCCTGCTTTCATTTCTTCTTCTGTCCTAACAATTGCACTCTATTAAATATATCTGGCTACTTTAAATCCTCCCCCATGATTACAGTGATCAACTTAAGGATGGAGTCCAGTCTGTTTTTTCAAGTGTACCCTTGACCTCTAACAGAGTCAAGAGCAAAGAATTGTATAGTTGCTAAAACAAGTTGCTGAAATGGCAGGTCCATTTGGCTCCCAGGAGCACGGAGCATCTGCTCCCCCAAGTTCCTCTTTCTTAGAACAGCTCATCCCAGGGCTCCCTGAGCATAGAGTACCCCTGTGGGGGATTGGTTCATAGGAGCTGGCCCAGCATACTTACTGGTGGTACATCCGCAGCACATCATAGAGATAGTCCTTCTCTGCATCATTTTCAATTAGAAAATCTACCTGTAAAACCCAAGGGCAGAATTACAGCTCCAGGCCCAGAAAACCTATAGCAGACTCCAGAGAGGAGAGGCCACACCAGAAACTATTCCAGCAGTTCAAGAAGAGTTGTGAAGAGAGGAAGGAAGACAGAGGTCAGGGTGACCTCCTGACCCCAATATGTCATACCCACGCAGAACAGAACATGCCAGGGTGGGCTTTTCATATCCAGATGTGGCCAGGCTGAGCCTTGTCCCAAGGTGGAGAGATAATGTGTACACACACAGGACGGGAACCTCCATGTGACAGTGACATCCCATGGCAGTGCTGCTGCTCACCCCATGGTTGCCATCTGTATCTGGAAGAAGCCCATTGTCTTACCTGATGGTGGCTGTAGTGCCGGATAACTGCTTTCAGAAAGGATTTGGGCCACTGGTTCGGAAAGCACATCCCACTGGTGGGAAGCACTCTACTGCTGAATTCTGTGACACCTTTGCTAGGGGACCTCTGCCCTATCCCGTCGTGGCCTAAGCTGGGAGTTCTGTCTGCTAGTCAGCCTCCTGGCCACTCCTTCCCCCTCTCCAGGTCCCTGTGTGTCTCCCCTGGAGGGAGGGTCAGGTTACATCATTTCAACTTTGCTGACGTCAATGGTCAATGGCTAGGACTCCAAGGTCAGGTTCAGGAGCTGCTTCATTAGCACCCCAATCCCTGGGGAGCCAGTGATCTGGGACCCCCAATTTCACTCTTTGGGACAGCTCTTTGTTCATCTATGTGCTATATCCTTGGCTCTCCCTTTAGCACAGGACAGAGTAACAGGGAAATGTGGAAGCTGGAGGGGTCCCTGGTTCTCTCCCTCCAGCCTCCAGGCTCAAGAGCATTATCCCAGGCTTCAGAGTCCTTAGTTCCAGAAGAATAGGGACTGTCTGTCTGTTCCAATACAGACAGGACTTGTAAGGCCAAACCCTTGGGATTTCTAGTCTGAGCACGGAATGCAATTTTCTAGTCTTGACCTGGCAGCACTTCTGCCCCTAAACTGAGGCTGGGCATTTCACTGACGATGAGCCTAACCTAGGAGGAGGCTCTCCATGGACTCATAGCCTAGGTGTCAGAAGCTCCCCAAGCTTCCAGTCAGGGGAATTTCTGCTCCCTCCCTACCTCACTGCAGAGGCATCTCCCTAGAAGATGGGGATGGCACATGCGCTTGAGTCAGTGCTACTAAATCTTAGGATACTGCGCTGGGCTCTGGCCCACTCTGCTTCACAAGTGGGCACTCTCAAAAGCCCATCTCTATGAGGACACAAGCCTGGACTATCTCTACCCTCTTTAGCCTCAACTTATGTAAGAAAATTGGAGACTTCACCCAAAATATCTTGATAAATTAGATCAAGTCACTCATTATCTTCCTATTGTACTTAAAGCAAAATCCAAATCCAGACCCCTTGCTGTGTCTTATCCAAGCTCTTTCTGGATGCATGGGCGTCCTTTCAGTTCCTCTCTCATGACAGACTTTCTTCTGGTGTATATTCCCCTATTCCTTGGATGGCTAGTCTCCTTCCCAGAGAGGTCTTCCCTGGCTACCAACCTAAACAGAACCCACTCCCACCCTGCAAGATGTTTCAATTCCATCATTACATGGATTGGTGCTTGTAATTTAAGGTTTGCTGGGTTTTGTTTTTATTTTTTGTTTTTGAAATTGTATGTCTCCTTTGCTTGATAGAAAACCTAATGAAGGGAAGGATGAGGTCTTGGTTATTCTAAATTCCTCAGGCTTAACATATAGTTCTGTGCTCAATAAATAAGTATTTATTTATTGGGTGAATTTGTCCTCACAGTTCAGGTTGAAGGAGCCATGGGAACAGAAAGGAAAGGGAAATGACCTTTGCAGAGCCCCCATGGTGGCACTGGGCATGTGGGCTTAATTCCTTTGCATATTACACCATCCCTGTGAGCACATATCTCACACCATTTTGCAGAAAGGACCAGAGAGGTTAAGTAAACTCACTGAAGACCCTATAGTTATTAAGTGGAACTATGATTTGAACCCAAGTCTGACTCCAAAGCCTATGCTCTGCTGCTAACCATGTCCATTTGGTGTGACTCAGGCATCCCAAGGGGAAATAACTCCCAAGGCTCCTTAAAGTCAACATTTCCAACCTTTTGCTTTTAAGATATCTTGTTCAAAAAAAAAAAAAGATATTTTATTCCTCGAACTGTTAAGAAAACTTTTTGATTGGTTCAAAATGACAAAGAAACAGAACACATGTCTTTTGTTTTTGGTTTTTGGCACTGTGAATTTAACCCAGGAGCACTTAACCCCTGAGCCACATCCCCAGCCCTTTTAAAAATATTTGATGTAGAGACATGGTCTCGCTAAATTGCTTTGGGTCTTGCTAAGTTGCTAAGGCTGGCTTTAAACTCATGATCCTCCTGCCTCAGCCCCCCAAGTCACTCGGTTACAGGTATGTGCCACTGTGACTTGCAGAACACTTTTAGATGATACTTTGAACCCCAAATGTTCTGTTCTCTCAGGGGAGGATAAAAATCCCGCCTGCTTTGGTTGGAGTGAGGACACCCTCACCAAAGGACATCCAGCCTAATTCTAGCCACGGGTGGTGAGAGAAGCAAAGGGCCAGGAGAGGGATCTCTGATTGGCTGAGGCCTTAGGTTTGGAGTCCTCTCACCCCTTTGCAGGAGTGCAGCTAGCAGCAGCTTTAGGGTTAAGCAGAGAGGGACTGTCCTCAGAGGACAGCCTTTATTTTGCTCTGGGTAGAAAGCTAAGGTAGAAAACTAAGGGAATTTGTAGCTTTAGAGTCTAGGAATGCTCTTCTGCCTTCTCTAAGCCAAGCACAGAGCACTTGGTGACAGTCTTTGTAGAAAAGAGCTGGGGGTGGAGGGAGTCCCAGGCTTCTGACCTGTGGACAGTCCTTCAATCCTGACCACTGCATTCAGAGGTCCTTACCCAGAAACTACTTTCTACCAGTCTGCTTCTGAGAGCCTCATGTCCATGGGCTCTCACTTGGAAGCTCATCTAAACCCTGTTCCAGTCTGTTCTTGTCTGCTATTACAAGGTCATTACCATCACAGTCCCTGTGGGACTCACACTGCAGTTGAGCAAACCTCTTCCTCACACTGGAACCTCCCCAATCTCAGTCAGAATGTCCCCTCCACCTCTACGGCTAATATTTCCATTTTTTTTTTTTAAATCTACATACAAACAGGTGTGGAGAGAATCTAAGTGATGAGTCAACAGTAGAGCCCACAAATGAAGGGACAATTTCCCATCCAGAAATGTCTCTAAGGAGACAGAGAAATAGCCTTACTTTGTTCTCTGGAAACACACACTCACATCTCACTCTGCAGACTTTAGAATGTTCCAGAAGAAAAGAAAGAAAGATGGAAGTCTTCTAGAAGTCTGAGCATGCTGTAGCAATGCTACCATTAAACTAGGCTTTTAGACTATTTTTTTTTTTAAATTACATAGTATTCCTTTCTCCTAGAATTCTGCCTTCCACTTGTCCAGGGATCAGCTTCAACAGACGCTGCTTTGACTACTTGGTACTATTCCCATGTACTTATAAAGCTCCTGGCCCACAGTAGGTCTTTGACATTCATTTCTTCCCTCCTCTCCATCCATGATCTTTCTTTCCCTGCAGTGTCCAACACGGTGTTGTGCCCACAGGCACGTAGCACTCAATGGTGTCTGTGGAATGATGAATGAACTCCACTTGCTCAAGGCGGGGAACCCTCCTTCTACACTCTTAGCCCTGTCTTGGACAACTGTCTTCCCAGAACTCCTGGAGGCTCTGTCTCTTCTCAGTTCATTTCTAGCTCATTGTAGAAAAGCAGGTCCCAGAGCCATGCAAGATGGAGTGTCTCCCCTCTTCACCATGCCACCTCCTCTAGAGTCTTTCCTGATCACGCCCAGCCCACACTCCTCACCTGCCTTCTAGCCTGTGGCTCATTCTGTCCCTCGCTCGTTTGCTCATTCGGGCCTGTAAGCTCTGAAGCTCACCTAGACCCTCTGCTTACTGACTGCCATGTCTCAGTAGCTTCTGTAATTGCTTTACTCTCTCCTTTAATTATCTTTAATCTCCTAATAATTTCTGGAGGTGGATATTGTTATCCCCTTTTTACACACAAGGAAATAGAGGTTCAGGGAAATGGGAGAGCTAAGACTCCAACCTATGCCTGCTGCCTCCAAAATCTCAGCTTTTTCAATCTACTCCATGGCATCCACCTGCCCTATATAACACTTTTGTATGCACCTGTCCACTGTACACATTTATTGAGAGTCTGCGATGTGCAAGACAGCAGCCTTTTTTCTCCAACTAGATTTAGAAAGCTTTTCCTTTCCTTGGATCCCCCCTGATGTGGGGCACAGAAGTCCTGAAGGAGCTCACCCTCTGCAAGTGACTGTTGGGGGGGGTCTCTATTCCACCTCCATTCCCATCTCCAGCCAGCACTAGCATTTTTCTATGGCTGATGCTCAGCTGGCTCTGAGCTATGGGTCTGTGTGTGGTGGGAGGGAGCACCTTCATCTTCACCAGGTTCAGGGGCATTGGAGGCAAAATCTGGGTTTGGCTTTGGGGCCCTTTCAGCCTCATTCCCTAGTATTCCCTCACAGGGACTGGCCCTTCAGGTGCTGCATAGGGAAGGAGAGAAAGAATAAGTTAAATAATGCATTTTGTTCCACTCCTGTGCCCTCCCTGGTCTGTCATGAGGATTAAGCAGGCAACATACGTAAAGCACTTGGGACAGACTCCAAATGTGTGCTGTGTCTTCTCCTTGGACACTCCCTGCCTCTTGCACCCTGCCCTTTGTCCTCCAGGGCTTTGCCTGGATTCCTGGTGTTTCAGCCAGTGGGAGGCACAAGTAGGAGGTGAACAGGAGGAGGAAGGGACTGAGGCTCTTAGTCCCCTGGCTGGTGGCCTGAGGGACCACCTGAGGTGGTAGTCCCTGCTTGGGCCTCTCTCTGCAGCCTCTTCTCCTGTGTTCTGGTGGCCTCCCTCCCCTGGCCCCTGCAGAGTGTGGCTTCCCATCGCTGTCACCCGGCCTAGTCTGTTCCTGTAGCCCTGCCCTTTCCTACTGTCCTTTCACAAAGCTTGCTTTGGTTTTCCCTTTGGATGAGCTGCCTGCCTCCTGCTGAGCCCTGGCTGGCGGGAGGGCTAGCCATTAGTAGTGGCAGCACCCACAGTATTTCCTCTCAGCGAATTCTTCCTCTACCTTGAAGATTTGCCCCAATGTCAGTACTTTGTCCTCACCTCTGTCATGACCTTGTTAAGTTGTTCCGGACTCTCTTTGCCCACTGGTCTTCCACAAACCTGTGCCGTAGCCTAGACACAGGTCTGGGTGTGAGGTGGAGGGTGGGACAAATAAGCCCCTTCCTCCACTGGGTCTACCTCAGTTTCCTCATCTGTAAAATGGTCATAAAACTCTCCTTTAATTTAATCCTTCCATGAGAGATTAATGATTGTTTTCATGATTAACTCAAGGAGTTATTAATCATAAAGTTTAAAACAGTGTCTGGAAGGTTGTAAGTCCTATGTGTTTGTTAAATAAAGTTAAATACAAACAAATGGATACAAATTTCATAACCTCAGCAGCTGGCAGTGAGTGGCCCTCCATACATGTTGATCCAGTCACGTCTTCACAGTCTGTATCCTAGCCAGTACTGGATGTATTGGATTCTTCATTCTCATCATGGCAGGCATATGCTGTTCCCTCTTCCTTTCACATAGACCCCCTGGCTCCTCCCCTATTCTTCAGTCTCTGCTCAAACATCACCTCTTCAGAAAAGCCTTCCTTATTACCCTACATAAAGTACCACCTGTTACTCTCTTTTCCCTCATCCCAGTTTATTTTTTCATAGCATTTATCACTACTTGGCATCATAGAATACTTTTATTGCTTTACTTATTCATATTCCCCATTAGGATATACTCTCTAAGAGGGCAGGGCTTTGTTTTGTTCCTTGATGCTTAGAATACTGTCTGGTATGTATAGAAACTCAGTCAAAATTTATTGCTTGTATGAATAAATGAATGATCAGCCACTCCTTGGAGTTAGGAACTCTTTCTGATCTTAATCATCCTATCCCACTCTCAGTTGTGTGGCCTCAGCTAGGTTATACCAGAGCTACTCACAAATGTGTGATTGCTGAAGAGACCATAAATACTTTGTGAGCAAATGAGTAACCAAGTTCCTGCAACTTGCAAGGGCTGTGAGCAGAGAGGCTAATTTGAAAAGCCGGTCCTCTCTGAGGGAGAAATCGTAGTCTCTGATCATGCCCCCTAGCCCATCCTGGCCCAAGGTTGTTACCTATCATTGGGAAGGGCACTAAGTGCTGCTGGTGGCCTTAGAGAAATGACACACTGATAGGACAATGCCTGGAGTCTGCTAGCTCAAACAATGGGACACTTCGGGCATCAGCCAGGAACCATGTGGTGACTACAGGCCTAGAACAGCCAATTTTGGAGTTCCTATTTAATCCTATCTCAAGAGTAAGCACTACAAACCCCATCTCATAGCTGGTGAAACTAAAGCTCAGAGAGATTAGATGGTTTGCCCAAAGTCTTACTGGCAGTGAGTGACAGGGTTGAGATTTGACTCCAGTTCTGCCTAATTCCAGATAATAAGCCACAGTGCATACTTTTGGAGGACTCCCTAAGTGTCAGGATCTACTGTATCCCCTTACACAGGTATTGATCTCATTTAGCCCTCATGATAACCTTATTAGTTAAATGTCATCCTCATTTCACAAATTAGAGACCTGAGACAGAGAGAAGATAAGTAACTTGCTCCAGGTCACCCAGCACTATCCTTTACAACATATTACCTTAAATATAACCTCCAACAACTAAAGACTTAGATTTCAAACCATTGCCCAGGGGTAAATTTGCTCCAAAACACTAAGGAAAGGACATTTGAGAAGCAATCAACAGCAAGCTGTAAATTTCACCCAGCGTGCCTCTATGCCCCATGTCTGTCCTCTGCTGCCCCATTCTCTCTCCCTAGTTCTTGGGTGATCCCCAACCTGGGAGGGGAAGGCTGCTGCTGTCTCCGAGGCAGCAGGGCACAAAGTCCAGCCTAGGCCTGCCCAGAGTGGCACCTGCCCTGCCTGCACACACAGGCACATTAATAGGTAATGCACTTGTGATGAGGAAGGGCAGGGCAGGGGAACACAGGGACCTTAAGCTCTGTGGAGTCTTTGGGGCCCAGGGAGGAAGGATTGGGATGAACCCAAAGTTGAGTCAGACAATGGGGACTCTAGAAGTGATGCTCTCAAAGGAGGAAAAGTGTAGGCACCCCGACAGGAAAAAAGGCAAAAGAAAACCTGACATTACTTTCAAGCAAGGCCAGTAAAGTGAAATTCAAGCCCAGGGTGGGGGATGGGAGGTTGAATTTCTTCAAAGTGGGTTGCCTGAAACCTATACTCACCAAATGTCCTCCACAGCTGAAATTTCTCCCCACACATCTCTTTGCACCAGTGAACACGTTAAATGCTTCCTTGACATTAGCCAGCCCCCCAGCTTCTGCTGAACTTCCAGCCATCTCTTACCGGGGGGAAGCAAAATCAGGAATATCTAACGCCTTGTTTTGATGAGACTTCTTCCAGTAAGGGTAGTCCCCACTGTGCCCCTACCAAACTTCGGTTTCAACACTCAGGGCCCAGCCACAGGTGACTATAAGGGTAGGGGCTTCCTCCCAGCCACATGACTGGAATTTGAGGACACAGACTGGGTGCTCAAAACATGCTTTTTAAATGAATGGCTGCTCACTCCTTGCCCCTCACCTTGGGCACCTCTGGGCCTCTCTATGGGAAGCAGGGAAGGGAGGGAGAATCACTCTGACCTTGCCTCATGAATTTTGCCCCCTCAGATCTGGGAAGGGGTTCAGCTTGGACCAAAGACACTGGCCCTCTGGGGTTCTGGCAGGGCCAGTGGGTAGCTCCAGACTCCCTGGCTTAGGCCCTCTTAGAAGGCCTGGTGAGGAGGTCCACCCACTAGGCCCCTGGGATAGCCTTCTCTGGTCTTGGGGCCTCAGCAGTTCCTGCATAGCTTTGGAAACAGCACTAGAAATGCCATGGGTGGGTCCAGCAGCTCCCAGTGAAGGTCTTGGAGCACCAGGGACCACCAGAGAGGTGTCTCACCTGGACATACCTTGGAGAGGAGGCTCTGCCTGAAGGAGCTGACTGGCCAGAGCTGGCTCCTCACATCCTTGGTACCTCCCCTCCTCCCCACTGTAGCTCAGCTGCCTCTCAAGTCCTAAGAAATGCCCCTGGACAGGGAGAGTTTCACAGAGCTGCTCCTAAGTCATCTTTAGAGGTCAAAGAGCCAGAGACATCCAGCTTCCCTTCTTCAATATCACCTTGGGCTCCAACAGTCCTAGGCTGGGGGCACTAGGAGGGAGGGGATTTGCCCACTGCAGAGCATCTCAGATGAGTGTCCTGCCTTGGGCCAAGGCTGGAAGGATTCCAACCTCAGAATATCCATTCCTTGGTAGGAGAAAGGAAGTTTTCTGGAGATGGAGCAGTTTACTCTCAATGTCCATGCCCTCACGTTTTGGAGATCTCTCTGGCAGCCAGAGGACCCTCGACCCTCCAAGGTCCCAGTCCACCCAGATCCCTCCCCTCCCCCAGACGGGGTTAGAAAAGGGCGGCTAGCACAGGGGATGTCCATCCTCCACCCACCCCTCCGGGACCTCGGGTCCCTGTTGCTTGGGGCACCTCTTGCTGTTCTGACCTTATGCCGGAATTCTCGGGCCACCTTCCGGTCCATGGCTGGGCAGGATCGATCAGTGCAGCTGCACGATCCGTTCCTTCGGGTGCCGGGCTACCGGGAGCTGGTTAGAGCAGGCAACCGTGACCGTCGCCGCCTTCCGCGGGGACTAGGGCGGGGCCTGGAAACGGTGGGGGCGGACCCTGGGCGAAGGAGCCGGCGGGGCGGGGCTGCTGGGAGGCAGAGACACCTGTCGTGTAGCGTCACCTCCCGCTGAAGCCTCGGAGAAATGGGCCCCCGAGTGTGGGACTGCTGGCCGCGGCCGGTAGTGAGTGCGGCTGGCTTTTCTTTTGAAGAACTTCCCAAACATATTGAGGAAGAGGATCGCGGAGACCTGGACAGGAAATTTGTGATATTTTGCGCCGGCAGAAATGCAGAGTCCGGAGACTCTTCAACTGGTTGGGTAGCAGGTGCAGTAATGGCAGTTTTCCCCGGACACGCGGTAGAGGTCCACCTGCCCGGCTGATGGACTCCTTGCCGCACATCTCACTTTGGGTGTGCCTTCCACAATGGTCTCCTCCAGGCACTTTCCTCACCAGAAATCAGTCCTTGATCTGTGAATTCCTGGGCTAGGACTGGGTCTTATTGTGGCCCACAAAAGTCTAAACCAGTGTCGGGGAGTGCCCCCACCCACAGACTTCCCCTCCTCTCTTTCTTAAGGGCTCCCCTGGCCCTCAACAAATCCAAAACCAAAATCAACACACACCTTCACTGAAGCATGGAAGGGCCCAGCTGTGACCTCTGATTTGTGGCTGACCTTTATCCAGAACACACACTCTCTGGCCCATTTGACTCAATACAGCCAAAATATTCCCTGCCTGGGTCAAATTCTGGGCACAAACAATAATGAAGGAGGCTTGGGACAGAGGAAAGAGGGGGGCAGGAGTGGAGAGATAAGCCCAGGTGAAGTGGGTGGATGGGATAACTATGGAGCTTATGCCTGAACCTAACCTAGATTGGGTGTCTGACCAGTTTGCACATAAGGGGCAAGAGAAAGAAGATGGACAAATGGTTGTAACTTCAGGGACATATAAAGGCACCTCTCAGGATGGGAATACAGCTTAGAGATACAGTGCTTGCCTAGCATGCTCAAGGCCCTGGGGTTTAGCATGGGGGGGGGGGAGCCCCTTCTCAGAGTGCTGTCCCGCCAGCTGAAGTTTTGCAAGCAGACACTTTTTATGTGGGCTAAATTATTACCCAGTTTAATCTGTAAATCCCTCCTGGGGAAGAATTGTCTTACAATATTATCCAAGTCTTCACCTTTGTATTAACTAGGTAAGTCAGAGATTAAAGAGAGATTAAGATGCATGAGATTTTCAACGGTCCAGAAAAATGTCACAAAGCATCTTCCTCTCCAACTTACAACACTGATTTGCTGCATTTCCTAAATGTGTCATGTGGCTATTTATTTCTTATATAGAATCCAGGCAGACATTGGTAATGTACTTACCCAAAAGATATAGTCTACTGACCACCCAATCTTTTTTTTTTTTTTTTTTTTTTTTTTTTTAACATGACCACAACCTCCATGGATTCTGTCCTTCTTTAAATGCTTCCCACTTGGCTTCAAGGACAGCATTGAGATCTGGTTCTCTTCCCCATGCATGTTTCTTCCCAAGCTTCCTCTGAGACCTCCCTGCCTCCACCCATTCCTTATCCAGTTTTTCAATGCCCGGTCCTTGACTTTCTCCTCTTCACCTTCCCTTCTATGCCCAGGTTTTCAGATAATCTGTGTGATGATAGCCTCAGGGTTCTATTTATCATAATATGACTAGTGTCGGGCATGGCACAAAATAGATGCTCAAAAAGTTTGTTAAATGAATGAATGAATGTGCACACCCCAAATTATACCCCTATCTGGGGGCGTTCTGACCAAATCTCTCTCCTCTTCCTTGTCCTCTTCCTCCTTCTCATAATTATCTACAAGTACTGGCATCTAGTTGGTGTTTCTTAACTGTTAGCCATGTGAACAATGCACAACCTCCCAAGGCTTTCAGATTCAGCTTTCTAACATTTAAAAATTCATCTTGGACAGAGAGTGTGCTTTGTTCACAATATTAAAGTTGTTTTGTTAGTCTGGCCTTGATGGGAGCAATGATATGGCAGCATGAGGCACTAGAACAACCTTGCTCAGTCAACATTTCCTGAGCTAGTGCTGGCATTCAGAGGAAGGACTCATAGTCATTCTCCAAAGGTGCTCACAACTTGGTAGGGTGGGGATTTGGGAGCCCAGAGTCTGCTCCTGACTACTGACCACCAAGTGGCATGTTCCAGGCTTCAGTGTGACCCTCTGTAAAAGTTGAAGTTAGGATTGGATTAATTCAGCATCTCTGATTTCTGGTGGAAGCAGCTTTCAGGATCCAAGTTAGGGAGCTGAGGTTGCCCAGGTGCCTCTGCTCCCTCAGGGGACTGAATGAGCTGAATCCAGGCTCCCTGGGGAGGGTAGTAGCCACAGGCCAAGAAAGGGAAAGTCTGGATTATCTTCAGGCGCCTAACTATGGTAATGAGCTCGGCTGTCCTGTCACTCTAAATCTGGGAGGAGCCAAGATCTTGGGAGGAGGGTCGGGGAGGGAGCAGGGACACAGGAGCTAGTCAACAAGTAGTGTGGAGTGGAGGTGTAACCTGCCTTGCTGTGTGAGATATCTCGGAGCCGACCCAGAGCCGGACCCAGCGCTCAGGCTCTCTAGTTCCCCTGCGCCCCTATGGGATTCCCGACGCCCATGCTCTGCCTGCTACTGGCTTGCGTCTGGAGGCTCCGGGGTGAGCCTGCTCTGGAGTCCCGGCAGGTGCAGCCTGTCGGTGAGAGCAGTGTAGACAGGGGAGGCTAGGGCTGTGGGAACTTTTAGGGAAGCAGGTTGTGCAGGTTGGAGAGAGGGTGGAAGGAGAAGGTCTGATCTGAGGGAGGGAGGGCAGGGGGTCCGGAAAGAGGGGAAGCTTACCGCAAGAGAAGCAGGTTTATGGCGCAGAGGAAAAAGGGTTTCAAGTGAGACTGGGTGGAAGACTTGAACGGGGGTTCAAGAAGTGGAAAGAAGGAGGGAGACCCTTTCCTAGAAGGGTCTCAGGGAGCTGGAAGAAGGACTTGAGAAGGCTGCA